CTTCCACCCTGAGTTGCTCCTCAGCGGGAAGGAGGACGCTGCCAATAACTATGCCCGTGGTCACTACTCGGTGGGATCAGAAGCCATCGACCCAGCACTGGAGAGGATCCGGAAGCTGGCAAGTGGTGGGGTGGGGTCCTGCGCAGGAGACTGGGCCCAGGGGCGCGCCTGGTCCATGGTGTGTTCGCAGGCACTTGTTCTTTGCCTGGTGTGGATGCGGCCTGGCTCTTAGTCGCAGAGGGCAGCTGTTTCTCAGAGCCCCACCACGCTGCCTGCGATGCCTGTGCTCCGAGGACCTGTCCTCCGTGGTCTCTGGGGGCCTGTCCTCCATGGTCTCCAGGGGCCTGTCCTTCATGGTCCTACATGGGCCTGTCCTCTGAGAGTCTGTCCTCTGTGGTCCTTTGTCTGTGGCATGTCCTCTGTGGCCGTGTGCCCTATGTGAAGGTGTGTCCTGGGCCTGACTGCCCCTGCCCTTGCCCACAGGCCGAGCAGTGTGACGGGCTGCAGGGCTTCCTGGCCTTCCGGAGCTTTGGTGGTGGCACCGGCTCCGGCTTCATGTCTCTGCTCATGGAACGGCTGTCGGCTGAGTATGGCAGGAAGACGAAGCTGGAGCTCTCAGTCTACCCGGCGCCAAGGATCTCCACGGCAGTGGTGGAGCCATACAATGCCATCCTCACCACCCACGCCACCCTCGAGTTCTCGGACTGCGCCTTCATGGTGGACAACGAGGCCCTGTATGACATCTGCCACCGGCAGCTGGGCATGGCTCGTCCAACCTATGCCAACATCAACAGGCTGGTGGGACAGGCCGTGGCGGCCATCACTGCACCCCTCAGGTTCGAGGGGCCCCTGAACGTGGACTTCATCGAGTTCCAGACCAACCTGGTCCCCTTCCCTCGGATCCACTTCCCCTTGACCGCCCTGGCACCCCTCGTCTCTGCCGACAAAACCCGGTACGAAGAGCTGTCGGTAGCCAACATCACGGCTGCCTGCTTTGAGGTCCCCCACCAGCTGGTTCAGTGTGACCCCCGGCTCGGGAAGCACATGGCCTGCTGCCTGCTCTACAGGGGGGACGTGGCCCCCAAGCAGGTGAACGCAGCCATCGCCGACATGAAGTCAAGACGCTCCGTCCAGTTCGTTGACTGGTGTCCCACTGGCTTCAAGGTGGGCATCAGCTCCCCAGCGCCCGCTGTGGTGCCTGGCGGGGAGCTGGCCCCAGTGCCGCGGGCCCTGTGCACGCTGAGCAACTCCACAGCCGTGCTGGAGGCCTGGACCCGCCTCAACCACAAGTTTGACCTCATGTTCGCCAAGAGGGCGTTTGTGCACTGGTACCTGCGGGAGGGCATGGAGGAGGCAGAGTTCTGGGAGGCCAGGCATGACCTGGCCACTCTGCAGAGGGACTATGAGGAGGTGGGCCGGAGCTCCTGATGGGGTGGGTGCCTGTGGGCCAGAGGAGGGGGAATCTTGCCCTCAGAATGCCATCCAGGGCGAGGGCAGAGCTCCAGGAGGAGATGGGGCACTTGACTCCACTGACCCGTTGGCCGGGCTCCCCCCGTGCTCCTGGGCCTTGTCCACTGTGTAAGACAGCCCCTCCATCTCCCCCCCAATGGAACCTTCTCAGACCCTTCGGCTACCACCTTGGGGCCCCTCTGCTTGTCAGAATGGGGACTGTCTGGGCACTTTGCTCCTTTTCCAAGTTCCCGTGACAGCCTGGAGGTGTCACTGTCCGAGCGCCACCATAGGGGCAGGGATCCCGAGGGCCTGTGTTCTCCCTCCGGCCGTGAGCACTGTGCCAGTGGCCAGACTTCTTGCACCTTCCCAGGTGGGCCTGCAGTTACCAGCCTGCCTCACTATTTTATTTGGGGACTGACGAGGCACCACATGCCTCTGGGAACTTTCTCCTTCAGGCTCTCTGCTCACTCACCTTCCATCACTGACGAACGAAGGTTCTGGACACCGAGGCGCCCGGAGATCATGGGTTGGGTTTGAGGGCTTGGCCCTGGGCTGCCTCTTGGCCTCCTGTGTCATACCTTGTCCCGGCTCTCAGCATGTATGGCTGCTGCGTGCTCCTGCTGCCTGCTCCAGAGATGAGCCAGCACCCCTGCCCTTCCGTGCCCATCTCTCCACCAAGTCCCCTCATCGGAATCAGGCCCCGGATTCTCTCCTGCCTGTTTCCTTCTGGTCCCTGCTGGGTGACGACTGTGCGAAGCCAGTACGGTTCTCTGGAAGAGTGTGAAGTGTCCCCCAAGAGGGGCTGGTCCCTCTGCAGATGTTGCTGTGCCATGTCTCTCTCCTCGAACCCAGTCCTCCTCACCCATCCTCTCACAGGACTCTCTGTGTCAGGGCTCTCCCCATGTGCCCCTCTGGGCTCCATCCCGCTGCCGGGCGCTGACTCCCACACCAAGCGAGGGCTGAGAGTCCCTGCCCTTTTCATCCCACAGAGAACCTCCTCACGAGCTTTCCTTGTGTGTGTCTTCCAGAGGGCTCTAGACTAGGGTGAGGCTCTCACTGACCAGACAGAGCCTGGGCCAGAGAAATAATCCGGCAAAGACACTGGCCTTGCACGTGGCTGAGTTTGGTTTGAATCCCCGGCACAGCTATTGATCTCCGGAGCATGGAGTCAGGATGAGCCCCTGAGCACCACTGGGGGGTGCCGCCTGCACCCAAACACAAATAAAGAATGAAACAAATGTGGAAAAGTCGTTTTCTTTGGAGCTCAGTGTGATTTCTGTCTTCACTGACAGGTCACTAAGAAGGGGTGTGTGTGTGTGTGTGTGTGTGTGTGTGTGTGTGTGCATGTGTGTGAATGTGTGTTCATGTGTGCACGTTTGTGTGTGCGCATGTGCATGCATGTGTGTGTGCATGCGTGCATGCATGTTTCAAGCTGTGTTCAAGGTGGAGGTACAGAACATAGAGTATTTGAATGTATCAAGGTTTATCTCCAAGGAAAAGTATGGGACGAGGGGGTTCAAGGACTGACCATGGCATTTAAGTGGCCAAGGAGTGAAGAGAAGCTTGAGTCGGGCAGTACGAAAGGGAGGTCTGGAGAGAGCACCAGGGCAACGCGCTGCAGGATGATTGGGCTGGGCCTTGGGCAGAGCGGGCTGGGCAGACAGGGGTATGGAGGCAGCTCCCAAGTGGTGCTCAGGAGACATGGGGTCCCCAGAGGCAATACTCGGCCAAGCAGGCAGTTGGCTCTCTGTGATTCTGGGGGGCCTTTGGGTTGCCACCGTGGTGCCTGGGACCAAACCCTCACATGTGCCCTAACGCTCTCCCGGTGCCCGGCTCTACTTTTTGCAGAATGAGCTTTCTTGGGCAAGAGTATGTCAATTGAACTCAGCTCCTCTGTGCGAAGCCAGTACGGTTCCCTGGAAGAGTGTGAAGTGTCCCTCTGAGCATGCCACACTCATCAGGGCCCTCCGAGACCACAGTCACGTGTCACTGACCACCTCCTGGGACGGGACACAGGTGTCCTCTCAGATGCAAGCCACCCAGGTGCTGACCACACCACACCGTCTGTCCTGCATCAGTTAGAGCCTTGAGCGGGGAGAAAGCTGCAGGCGGCTGTGGGGACAAGGGAAGTGCCCATAAGGAAGCCTGAATGTTCCCCGGAACCACCCCAGGCTGGGTGGAGCTCAGGGTGCTCCAGCTGAGGCCTGTCCCCCGGAGCTGGAGTGCACTGCAGGCCTCCTGACTGGGGACAGTTTTGCTCTCAAGGCCATTCCTGATAGTCCCCTCAGCTCTCTCTCATGAGCTCTTCCAGTGCTGACCCACAACTTAACCGTCTCACACGAGACAAAAGCTTCTCCAGATGTGCCACTCATCCGTCACTGAATGGCACTCTTAATGGTAGATGGCTGCTGTGTGCACTTGCGTGTGTGTGCATGCACATGTGGGCGCTTGTGTATGTGTGCATGTGTGAGCATATGTACACATGTGTATGTATGTGTGCATGTGTGTGCCTGTGTATGAGTGTGCACATGTGTATGTGTGTGTGAGTGTGTGCATGTGTGTGAGTGTGTGCAAGTGTATGTGTATGAGTATGTGCATGTGTGTTCAGTGTGCACATGTGTGTGCAAGTATGTTATGTGTATGTGTGCATTAGTGTGTGCATGTGTATGTGTGTGACTGTGTGCAAGTGTGTGCATGTGTGCATGTATGTGCATGTGTGTGAGTATGCACATGTGTATATATGTGTGCCCAAGAGCATGCATGTTTGTGTGCATGGCTGTTCATGTGAGCATGTGTACCTATGTAAAGGCATTTGCCTGTGTATATCTCCATGCATGGCCATGCAGGAGTGAGTGCCACCTGGCCCTCCTCAGGAGTCTGCCCCTGGCCCTGCCAAAGTCCTGGTTGTTGCGGGTGCCCTGTGGTACCCCAGGGTGCCCCAAGCCCATCCTCCCAAGAGGTGCCTCACCTGTTTGTTTGCTACACTAATTCAGGTCATACCGTTCCCGGTGCCCTTCCTATACAGGATCGGGTAGGGCCTCAGAGGGGCAGTTGAACCCAGCTGCCTCCCAGCCCTCCCAGCCCAGGGCAGCCTTGGCAGCAGGTCCCTGCCGGGGACCTGGAGTGACCTGAGCCAGGCAGAGGTGCTAGAACCAGTGGGCACATCTTGGAAGACCCCTGCAGCATGTATGTCTGAGCCACAGTCCCCTGTATGCTAGAGATTCTCAGGGACTGGCCCCCTCTCTGGCCAGCTGAGGTCAGAGGAAAAGAGACAAGTCCTCGGTGAAGAAGCCATTGGTTTAATCAGACCACAGGGAGGCAGGAGGTGAGGGGGGTCAGCGAGTCCAGCTGGGGCTGGTGTGGAGTGGGGAGCTCTGTCTCCAGAGGTGCTAGGGGGTGGCTGGGGCGAGGCAGAGCTGGAGGGTGGGTGATGCCGGCGCCTGAATGCACTTCTGCAAGGCAGGGGAATGGCAGCTCGTGCCCATGAAACACAGCCCCGAGTCCTGCTCTTTCATCCTGGCCAGGGGCCCCGCCCGGCCTCTCTGCACCTACTTCTTCCGCCCTACTTGGGCCAGCAGGTGGGCATTGGCTGCCGCCTTGGCTCGCACGTTTTTGGCCTTGGCAATGTCGAAGAGGATGTTCATAATATTGGTGGGGACGTCCAGGGACAGACTGAACTGGGCTCGCCGGTCTCTCTGGGTCTTGTCCTGGGTCAGCTTCCCCCAGAGCTGCGCCGGGGATGGACCTTCATAGCTTGCAGCCAGCCCACCAGCCCCCGAGCCCGCGGGGGTCCTCCTCTCCTTGTGGCCCTCCTCGCCCAGGGCCAGGAACCTCCTCGCGCTCAGCAGCGGGGCCTCCTCCGGCCCGCTTCTCTTGGCCTCTGATAGGGCCTCGTTGGTGCAGCTGGAGAATGACTTGACTTTGTAGAACTTTGTAGAGAGACCCAGACTGGGGGTGCTGGGCAGTAGCAGCAGCAGCAGCAGCAGGAACCGGGCGGGGGCCAGCATCTCTCCCTGGAGCACAGAGGGCGGGAGTGGAGAGAGAGGCTCAGCATTGGGTGGAGAGGGGCGACACCGGGGCTGCCGCACCCACCAAGGCAGAGACTTCTCATGCCTTGGCCCAGAACTAGCAGGTGGGAGCTGAGCCCCAGGCAGGGCTCTGGGCTCCCGGGTGAGCAGCGTCCGAGCCAGCAGGCAGCGACTCTCAATGTGGAGAGGCGAAGGCTGCGGGCCCTGGACCATACTCTAAGGACCCCCTCACTGTGCCCTGCCCACTCAGGTTCCCTGGTCCAGAGGAGAGTGCACTTCCTCTTTCTGTGAAGAGTGTGTCCCCAAAAACATTCATTCCAAAGGACTACGCAGAGCCCCGCTCACTGTGGCACCGAGCACGATGCTGAATGTGGAGGCAGCCTAGGTGCCCGAGCACAGATGCACGGTGAGAGCATCGGGTGCACACAATGGGGGTTCCTGCAGAGAAAGGACAGAGGGAGGCAGGAACCTCACTGCCACTTGGATGCAGCTTGGTGGGGGGAATCACATTCAGGGAAGTGAGTCAGAAGAAGGACAGATTCCGGGTGACCTCACCTATCCGTGAGCAAGAGGAGAGGGTGCCTGGACTCAAGGAGGGGGTTGTGCCCATTTAACCCCTGACCCTTGGGCCGATAAATGAAAAGGGTGAGAAAGGAAAATCCTTGGGGGTGTAAGAAGAGAGGGCTGGGTGTTCCGGGAATGGGGTCGGGTCTTGCATGCCTCAGTGCTGTACAGTGAGGTGTGTGTATATCTGAACACGGGCCGCACCACTGCAAACAAGAGACAATTGCAACAACCAGCGTTAAAATGTGTGCTGGGAAGGCAGGCTGGGAGTGGGCACCTGTAGACACTGGCGGAGGGAAGTGGAGAGAGATGGAGGGGCTGGCGCTGGAGCGTCACATGCCTGAAACTTAACAGGGAACAACGGTGAAAATTCTGATGCCCTAACTAATAAATAGATCTTTAAAACAAAACCATGTTTGTCTGGTAAGCTGATCTTCAGCTGACCCCTGCCAAGACTCCTGGGCCGTGCCTGCAGAGGACAGGGCACACTTAGAGGTGCCTGCTGGCCTCCCTTTGTCCTCTGTTCCATCCCCGAGTCAGAGCCACCTAGCCTGAACCCGCAAGGGCTTAGAGGACCCCCAGGGTGTGTGGGGCCCAGCCCCCAGCTGTCTGGGGCAGCCCCAGGCATGTGAGTCTGTTCCTGAGAAGATGCATTCGGCTCTGGGAGCCAGCTCAGGCCAGTCCCGGCACTGCCTCCCCCCCACCCTGCATGGTTCCTGTGCCCCTTCATGCTGACACTGCCCCCCTACATGCCCCAGTGCCCCTCCATGTTGGCACTGCCCTTCCACGCCCCCCTGCATGGCTCCCATGCCCCTCCAGTCCTGGCACTGCCCCACTCCATTGCATGCCTCCTACCCCCATCCCCTGGTGTCCCCATATGTGCACACCCCTCTGAGAGGAAGTACCTCCCCCTCCCGCCCTCGGCAAGGAAGGCAGGACCAGTGCCCATCTGGTCTGCTGGGTGGCAAAGGGCTCTTACCAGCATTTATGGCCTGCAGCCTGGGGCTGTGAGCCTTTCAAAAGGGATTTTACTTCACTAACAAGCTGCGTCTCACATGCTCTCCTGGTGTGTGCCTGTACCTGTGTGTGTGCTAATACTTGTGTGTGCACGTATGTGTGTGCCTGTGTGCATGAACCTGATGTGCTGCTTGGTAATACACCACGTTCTAGAGATCTCTGGTCACCAGAGGGATTTGTATTCAGTTTATTTCACTCATTCTCGGCTATGGAGGATGTGTGTGTGTGTGTGTGTGTGTGCACTTCTCTCTCTGTGGTATGTGTCTGTGTTGTATATGTGTCTGTATGTATGTCTGTGTGTGTCTCTGAGTGTGGTGTGTGTCTGTGTGGTATGTATGGTGAGTTTGTGTGTGGGGTGTGTCTGTGTGTATGTCTGTGTATGGTGTGTGTCTGTGTGGTATGTATGGTGAGTTTGTGTGTGGTGCGTCTGTGTGTCTGTCTGTGTATGGTGTGTGTCTGGGTGTCTATGACTGTGTGACTTTGTGTCTGTGTGGTGTGTGAAGCAGAGCCTGTCCAAATGGCTCTCTGAGCAGGATCTTGCAAACAGGAGTTCAGGAAACTTGGGTGTTGAAGACACACCGCAGAAGTGACTTTTTGGGCCTTTTCCTGGGCAGCACGGAGCCCTGCAGACATGGTCTCCCGCCAGAGCCCAGCAGAGCAGGGACCAGGCCCCCGGCTGTGAGGTCCGAGTGCCCTCTGCTCACCTGCTCTGGGTGAGGCCCTGAGCTCGTCTCTCCCGGGCAGCCCCCGTGCTCAGCAGAGCGTGGGTCGGGCTTGTCCCCCACCCTCTCTATGGAGAGACTGCCCTGATTTCTCCAAAATCCCCCACCCCCCTGGGGTGTGCAGCCTGGACCCTGGAGCCCGCACCTCCCCTTGCCTCCCCTGCAGGAGCCCGACCCGTCTTACTCTGTGTGGCTTTCCCTGAGGGCTGCAGGTGCCGAGGGTGTGCGGGAGCCCAGGCTGGTCGGTCGGTGGCAGCTTCAGGACCGGTGGCTCTGCCTCAGGAACAAGCCCCGAGATCACTCTGCTGGGCTCTGTGGCTCCTGTCCCGGTGCTCAGGAGGCTGCTGTGTTTCCAGTTGGGGAGCAGAAGGCTTCCTTGTGAAGTGCCACAGACCAGTGGCGCTGCATCTGCTCTGGGAGGTGAGTCCCACTCGCCTGCAGCAGGTCAGCACCGCGTCACGTCACGAGAGCTCGGCCCCTGTCCTGCCCCTCCCCTCCCCCTCCCACACACCCTCCAGCCCTAGCAACCCGCTTCATTGAGAGAAAGAAATGCAGCAGCCCCTCCTCTGAGATCCTCAAGGTCTCAGCCCCGCGCCTGTGGAGAGCAGGAGCTGCCCTGCCTGGGGGGGCGGGGGGTGTCTGACGCTGCTTCCGACTCCTCACAAGACTGTGTGTGCGAGTGCACGAGAGTGTGCATGTGCATGAGTGTGTGCATGTGTGTGCACAAGTGTGCGTGTGCAGGAGAATGTGAGTGAACATGAGTGTGTGCATATGTGCATCAGCACGTTGTGTTCATGCACATGTGTATGTGCTTACATGCATGCGTGCATGTGTTTATGTGTGCACATGTGTATGTGTGCACTGAGTGTATACACATGCATGTATTCATGGCTGTGTGTGCATGTGTGTGTACATGAGCCGTGAGTGTGTATGCATGGTGAGATCGAGGGACATTTGGCAGCTTATCCCAATTTCACCCAGGAGGATCCCCCAACTGTGAGAGAAGTGAGTGGCCAGAGGTGACTCAAGTGCTGGTGCTGGTCAGGGGGAGATCCCTGGTCCCTCCAGGGCTCGCTCTGAACTTCAGGTTTCACAATGAGTGATGGGCCACCAAGACCAGGCTCTCCCACGCCCAGTCTGGCCAGCCCCCTCAGCCAAGGGAGCCAGAGGACAGCCATTCTGCTCCTGTCCTCCCTCATCCCCCACCCCTCCTTCTGGTCTTTGGTGTGAGGGCACGGTCTTTCGTGCCAGGTAATCGGGCAGCAGAGGGCTGTGTGCAACAGAAGCAGGTGGTCACACCCAGGGGCACACCCTTCCCTCCTTTACCAGCTCAGGGCCCCCGGGAGGGCATCTGTGATAACACTCGGGGACAGCCCCAGAGCAGGGCTTTCTTGGGGCCAGGTGACAGGGTGTCTGTATATGGGGGTACGGCCAGCAGAGTGCTAGGCTGCAGTGGTGGGTACACCCTCCCTAGCCTGGAGTGGCCAGCAGACATGTGTGCAGTGGGGACCGTCCACAGGGGCGAGTCACTGTCCAGCACACGATGATCAGAAAGAGGCCACAGGCACTGTTTCCTGCCCGCCCTCCCCCGCCCTCCACTAAGCTCAGCTCGCACAGCCCTAAGAGGCAATGCTTTCCCACGTGTAGGGCTGCTTGGGACCCCCTTTTCCAGCTCTGTGGGAGCACTGCAGAGCTGCAGAGAGGAAGACCAGGACCCTCCCTTAGCTCTCCTTCTCCTCCACAGTGCTGTTTCCAAGAAGCAGCCTTCCCCTGACCCTGACCGTAGGCCTGGCATTCTGCTTGGTGCGCACTTTCCCGGGCCGGCCAGGGCGTCTGAGCCTTGTGGGAGACAGAAGGCGGAGGCAGGAAATCGGGTCAGCCTCTCCCGGGGAGACCCCCTAGAGGAAGCTCAGATCTCCAGAGTGCTTGCACGGGGAAGCAGCTGCCTGCTCTACACCGGAGCTGGTAGTCCGAGAAACACGGGGAGAAGGGATGGGAGGGTGCTTGCAGCAAGGAGGTCTGCTGGGCATGAGGACGCGCAGCTCGCTCCTCGGTCCCTCTTGTGCTGGCTGGGATGGGGACGGTTGTCTCTGCTCCTGTGCCCGGTTAGCAGCTGTGGGCTGAGTGTCTTCACCCGTCACATATCCAGATGCATATCCTAGCTGGCTTTACAGGCTGCACGGCCTGTGCCCATGCTCTCTGCCTTCCCCTCCCGGTTCCTGGCTTCAGCTCAGGTTTGAAGGGCGCCTGTGGACTGCCCTGTATTGCTGGGCCTGCCCACTCCTGCCGGTCTGTCCACCCTGCTCTGCTTTCTGTACTTGACGGGATGCCCCCATGCAGTGGTGTCTGGATGACCCATGGCACTGCAGCCAGTGACCCCACTGGCCTGGATCTGGAGCTTCCTGGCCTCCGGTTCCAGGAAGAGATGGGAAGCATTTCTTTTTCCTGGCCGGGGGAAAGTCTCTCTGCTTCACGGACCCGGGGGATTGAGGCTGCTTCTGTCAGCACGTGGGAGCGGGTGTGGGAGGTGGTTGAGGAGAGGCAGAGGGAGGTTCTGCCAGGCGGCTCCCGTGCCCCCTTCCCTGGAGGCATGGCAGCTTTGGGCTCTGTTTGTGGGCCCCAGTGTAAACAGTGCTCTGATATGGCCCCAGGACTCACTCTGTAAGCTCTGCAGGC